ACATTTTAAGATTTTTTGGCCATTCTGCCATAGCTGATGGCACTTGCTCTTCAAGCTTATGCGAAAGTGGATTTTTCAAAAGTCAAGTACAGGCAGACCCCGGGTTACATACAAGATAGGGACTGTAGGTTTGTTCTTAAGTTGAATTTGTTCGTAAGTTGGAACTGGCGTCCAGATTCAGCCACTGCTGAAACTGACCAGCAGCAGGTGAATCAGGACGCCTGGGGCAGAGTAGCTGGGGTGCTGCTGGGTTGGTCCAGTAGCGCCGAGTAGCGGCGCTACTGGACCAACCCTGCAGCACCCCATCTGCTCTGCCCCAGGTGCCCCCAAGTCAGCCACTGCTGAAACTGACCAGCGGCTGACTACAGGAAGCCCAAGGCAGAGTTGCTCTGCCCCGGGTTTCCTGGAATCAGCCGCTGATCAGTTTCAGTAGCAGCTGACTTGGGGACACCTAGGGTAGAGCCGCTGGGGTGCTGTCGGGTTGGTCCCCGCAGCGCCGAGGTGCGGCGCTGTGGGGACCTACCCAGCAGCGCCCCAGCTGCTCTGTCCCAGGCATCCAGATTCAGCCGCTGTTGAAACTGATCAGCGGCTGATTCCAGGAAGCCCAGGGCAGAGAAACTCTGCCTCAGGCTTCCTGTAGTCAGCCGCTGGTCAGTTTCAGCAGTGGCTGAATCAGGACGCCTGGGGCAGAGCAGCTGGGGTGCTGCCAGATTGGTCCAGTAGCGCTGAGGAGCGCCGCTGCGGGACCAACCGGCAGCGTCCCAGCTGCTCTACCACAGGCGTCCGCGAGAAAAGCCTGGTCTGCTGGGGGGGGCGTGCACTAGCTGCGTCCCCCCCCCCCAGAAGACCAGGGAGACGCAGGTGGCAGGACCGAGACGCGCCACGGTCCCGCTACCCGCATCCTCCGCGGCTTTGCTCCGCGTCTCCCTGGTCTGCTGTGGGACCCCCCCAGCAGACTAGGGAGACGCGGAGCAAAGCCGCAGAGGAAGTGGGCGGCGGGACCGCAGCGCGTCTGGGCGGTCCCGCTGCCTGCGTCCTCCGGGGCGAGAAAAGCCCCGTTCGTAAGTACGGATCCCACATAAATCGGATCCGCGTAACCCGGGGACTGCCTGTACTAACATTTTGGAATAGCAAAATCTGCACTATCCTTCCTCCTCTTCTGCATGCATGCAGAGAACACGATTACCTGGCCCAGAGAAATTAATTAATAGAAAACTGATTGAAGCTATAGATAGTATCTATACATTACCTTTAAAAATACTAATATTATCTATGTAGGGATGTTAAATTTCAATTAATTGACTAATCAAATAGTCAATGCAATTTGCTCTGCGGTGAGAATGGGGCGAGCAGGACAGTCCCCCACTGGCTCCATGCTCCTCACAATGTTTCAAAGCAGCAGTGCCACATGGAGCCCAGGATCAGCTAGGGACTCCCCCACTGACTCCACGCTCCATGCAGCACTGCTGCTTTGCAATGCCGCAGGGAGCCCAGCATCAGGCTCCATGTGGTGTTTTAAAGTCCCCAGCTGATCCTGGGTTCCACACAGTGTTGCCGCTTTGAAACACTGCGTGCGGCCTGGGGACTCCCTAGTTGGCTTCAGGCAGCACACGGTGTTACAAAGGGGCAGAGATGCATGGAGCCCAGGGTCTGGCCCCGGGCTCCATGCGGCACTTCTGTTTTGACGCACTCCCCTTTCCTCCCCCCTCCCTTGCTGCCTCTTTCTCATTGAGACAGCGGGGTGGGGGGCAGAGGAATGACTAGTCGACTATGTTGACTATCCGATGTGTTGACTATCCGATAAGCATTTGCTTATTGGATAGTTGACTACTCAACTAGTTGGTCACATCCCTATATCAATGTACAGAACTCACTAATCATCCTGCCAGTCTAGGGATGTTAAATATCGGTTAATTGGATGGTCAAGTAACCTCATGACAGTTTATCTGTTAGTCGACTATTCTATAGTCCCTGGAGGCGGGGCTGGCAGCCACTGTATCAGAGGCAGCAGAGCGGGGTGCTAGGCGGGAGCTCGTCCACGATGGGAGCCAATTTAAAAACCTGCTCCCCTCATGGACCGGCTGCCTGTCACTCTGCACTGCTGTTTCTGAGAAAGAGGCAGCAAGCAGCACAGGGTGTCAGCAGTCCCTGTCTGGAGGGGGGGGTCTGAGCTCCTGGACCCGGCGCAAGCCAGAACTGAGCTGGGCTGCCTGCCAGTCCAGGTCTTAATACACTTGAAATGCAGAGCTGCAGCAGCAGTAGGTCTCTGACTTGTCACAAGCTAGACCTGAGAAATGTCACAGAGGGGGGAAGGGAAATGTGTGTAGTCTATAGCATTAACCTGTAAGCTTTTGCTTATCATTTAATCGACTATACTGTTACATCCCTATGCAAGGCCATAACACACATCAAAACAGTACTAAATGGATTTATCATCACATGCTTTTGTAATTCAGAAAATATCATTTAGCAAATCAAAAAATACAGAAAGATAGAAAATCTAGTTCATCTTACTGCCAATACATTGTTCCCATATGGTACAATCCATTTTGCAGCAGAAACTCCAGTGATATCAATATCAAATAGGTGTGACATTTTTTGTTGCCCTGTCCAATTTTCAATGACTCAAGCACAATGGGGCATCCATCAGATTTCTTGGAAGGCTATTCTACAATCTGATTCATGTATTTTACACATATATTTAAACAGTCTACTACCTTGGTACATTAAATAAATAAGGATTTTATTGAAAGATATAAATAGATATTTAATCCTGTCTTCAGCATAATTATCTATTTTCCTTTACTTTGCATATATTGATGGCTTCAACATCACTTTTAACTGTTCCAATGTTCAGCTAAAATGGATACTTACTGTTGAACGCAACAGGGAAGGTACACCTTCCAAGGGGTCTGTCTTTAGTTCTTACTTGCAACACAAGACTGGACAGACATATTATAGCTCAATAAATATATTCAGTCTCAATCCTTTCGATACATCTCCTGTAGTCATTTTTGGAAGTTGTCAGAAATATAAATTATAAGGAGAAATAACAAAGGGTGCAGAGGGAGCATGTTGTACCATACTATGTATGGAACAGCACCAGGGCTTAACATACATAAATCACAAAGGGCAGATCGGAAGTTAGGTAGTTTGCAATTCAGGTTAGTACACCGCAATAAGATGTCGCAATATGAAGCGCTGTACATTGTTCTTCCATGATCTCTGACATCCTATGATGCTTCTATCTCCAGTCCCTTTATACATAATGTTCACGAATATATATGTACATAAACTGGCCACCTGCTACAACGGCTTTCTATGTTTTGTTTTCTTAATGTCAAAATCCCCCATTCTGCATTGTGATCCATGTGGGCAGACTGCTGGCACTCACACAGAGTTTTGTTGACCTTATTGATTTGCACAAGATGGTTATACTGGACAGATAGAAATACATAACCCTTAGCTTTTGTTCAGCTAAACAGACTGAACTGCTTGAGTTTGTTTGTTTTTTTAAGTTAATATGAAGCATTTTTAATCTTGTATCTGCCAGCAAATAGGTACTTTGATTCACTGCAAATTATGAATCCGGATTAGAGGTACCACTTATGGTACATAACTTTGAAGCAGCATATTTAGTAGAGAGAAAAGCACTTTATGAGTACTGTTCAGCTTCTCTCAAATTCCCATGGTTTTATTACCCATACTAAGTTTTTCTAAAATAGTGATACTCAGAAAGTGCAAAATTAGCAATCAACATTATCCAAAAGAGCTAACACAAGAATTGATTCATTTTATATACAATTCTCACAGCAAAATGACTCACCAAGTACAGTAAACTTCGGATAATCTGGCACATTTAGGACCCAGGGGGTACCGGATTATCAGATATGCCGGACTATCAGAAGGGGGGGGCTATGAGGGGTCTGGAGTGGGGTGGGAGGGGATGCCACCCCAGGCCCCTCATAGCCCCCCCCTTACGATAGTCCGGCTCTGCCCCAGGCGTCCCTGATTCAGCCGCTGCTGGTCAGGTTCAGC